TATCAGTAACAGTTAAGAAATATAGGTAAAAAAAAACATAAAATATTAGGACTATATTTTTAAAATTAAAATTACAATTTTCTACAAAGTAACTTTTCTTGCTTTTTGTTGACAAATTTTTCAATGACATTTTCAAAAACTATTCCATCTATCAATTGTCACTTTACAGACAATTGATAGTCCAGTATATATGACATAGTTTGAGTTACTTTTAATTGAAAATACCCTTCAACTGTGAGTACTAACGTGACATTAAAAGCACTTTTATTTCAATACAGCCTATGCAGATTTATAGCCTACAGCAGAGACAAAAGTCATTCAGTTATGTGCCATATGTGATACACACTTAGGCAATCATGCATCTTTTGATGCCTGACTGATAGGGCAGAGTTTTTCCCGCAGCAGGTTGCCATTTCTTTCTGCAGTAGATCAGTTGTCATCCATGGCTATAGAACCTGGTCTGTCCTGCTATTTACTGATAGATGCAGGGAGAAGAGGATTCATACCTTTCCCAAGGGTATTAGCATATAAGTGAGTCTAATGGATTCAACTGGAACTCGAACTCGGCTCTCCGATTACTCAATCTGTGTTGCTCTCCACTGCGCCTACCGAGACAAAAAGTACTGCCCTATAAAAGTGCTGGCCCAAGGTGACCCCCTCCCTAGCTACACCACTGCTACTTATACAAATACTTTTTGATATTAGTTATTATCACACTAATCCACCTTTTCAAAACTGTAATTACTTTGTGAATGAACTGAAAATTAATGCAAAGATACAGCATATGAAATACATGTCTGAATTGTAATTTATTAATGCAAAATGTATTTAAAAATAAATATAAAATTAACTTTCTATTGCATCTTTTCCGTTTGTTCAATAAGATCTTATTTGGATGTAATTAACATACATAATTGACTTAAATTTATCAGAATGATTTGATCATTCAAAACTTTTGTTGACACAGTGTGTAATATTTGAAAGCAATGGTGATAAAACCAAACCAAAAGCAAAATGAAATGAAACTGGCTGAGTATTTGCATCTAGACATGTCAAATGCCAGAAAACTTTAAAATTTAATGCACCTACATTTTCAGCATTTACACGCAGTGCATAATAATATCCAATATTTTGATTAGTATTTTCCAATCCTACCCCCGCCCTCTCTTTTATATATATATATATATATATATATATATATATAATTGGCGTATACGGAATGAATTTCAATAACCAACAATTACTATTCTTAAAAGATTGCTCAATACAGAGTAGAGCAGATATAATTATTTATTTAAAAAAATTATAACATAAATATGTTATAAAATCACTACAAAAAACATCATCAACATCATCACTTGATAAGACACGAGGTGTTGAAACAAAATGGCTATTTTTGTAGTGATTTTATAACATATTTATGTTATAATTTTTTTAAATAAATAATTATATATATATATATATATATATATATATATAAATTTACAAAAGGATAGAATCCAGGTAGAGCGCAATGTCCAGGACATAGCAAGAATATAATATAAAAGGCTCAAACACTAAATTTATTACATTAGAATTGCAATCACGATTTGTAGGTCTGACGAATTGGATGATGATTAAGATTCCAATGTAATACATTATAACCATGGAATATTAGTATTTGAGCTTTTATATTATATCTGTATATATATATATATAGCCGAGTTTGAATTCCACTCAAATCCATTGTATTCACTTACATGCTAATACCATTTGGAAAGGTATGAATCCTTTTCTTCTTCTCCCAGCTATGGGTAAATAGCAGTCCAGACCAAGTTCTGTAGCCTTGGATGGCAACTGGTCTACCACAGAAAGTAATGGCAACCTACTGCAGGAAAAAATCTGCCTCGTCAATCATGTATCAAAAGATACATGATTGCCTAAGTGTGTATTACACACGGCACATAACTGACTGACTCTACCATCTCTGCCTTTGTATATTTTTCATACAAAATCACACAGAAACTTGGTAAGATATAAAACTATTTCAAAATGCTTTTGTTGTTCTCCCCTTGCACTTCATAACTACTGCTTGTGTATTGTCCCAATTATGAGTGTTGGCTTCAATGTTTACTTTTATAATGATATACGCTCTATCTCTGATATTGAGCAATTTATCCCATAAATATAGCATACCTTAAAACTATATATATATATATATATATAAATATATATACACACAGACACATTTCATCAAATATGACTTACAAGAAAAATTATATTTCTTTTATTTAGTTTTTCCCAGTGTTCTTACATTTTTCCAATTTGGTGGGAGTGAGTGAGTACAAAAATTGTCCATATTGTTGATTGTCCCAAGCATTTTCGGCCACTTCTTTAGGTATTTTCAAGAGGGTACTTTTTGGGTTAGTTAGTTTATTTTTATGTTTTCGCTATGTAAGATGTATTATTTGTGAATTATAGTAACTGCGATTATTCTGAGCCATCGTGTGTTTGGCAGCCAAAATATTCTAACTACAACCCCTTGAAAAAAATGTATACTCATTCCCCCTTGAAAAATGGAAAAAAGGAAAAATTAATAAAATTTTCATTCCCACAAAACAGAAAAAAAAATCTAAGAACAATATATATAAAACTAAACAAAAAAAAATTAATAAAATTCACAACAAATGTCTATTTGTCCATCATATTTTAAAGAAAGATGTTTAAAAGAGAGGTTGTCAAAAATGTCCAACATTTGGATATTTTTTATCAAGGAATAGTTTAATAAAAAAATATACAAATATTTGACAGTTTTTGTCTTTAATTTCTCCCAAAAGTAAAGCAATTATATGAAGCTTAGAATGGCTCATGATCAAACATAGACATTCATTGTCTGTTATATTTAACAATATGTTTGAATAATGATCTGCTTCCCCAATACAATATATATATATATATATATATATATATATATATATTTGGTTGGATAGATGTGAGTTTGTGACCCTGGGTTTCACGCTTTAGCGATCGTCAGACAAACTCTAATAAGTACCGCGCATATAATATATAAATAATTATACATATATATATTTATTTATATTTATATACACTTTTCATATATATATATATATATATTACCATCACTAAAAACATAAATTTTGATATATAGAAATTGATATATCTTTGATCATACATTAATAATTTTTTCCAGAATTTTTAGTGCAAATCCTCTTTGTTACACTTACATAATCCTTTTTTCATGCATAATATAAAATTTAATATGTACATAATGAAAATGAATAACACAAATAAAAATCAACAAAAAGCCAAAGTAATTTATCTGCCAAGTAGAAAAAATTGCCAGGAAAATTCAATGATTATAAATAAGCACACAGAGACTGCAGTAACTGTAAAACCAATTTTCATTGGCTGAATTCCAAAAATAATCAAACCTATATAAGATCAGGCCAAATATTCTGAACCAGAAGTGAAATTTGCAGATCCAACCAAAATAGACTAGGAAGCTGACCAAAAGCTTTGCTTCTGGTTAGGTCACCTCGGAGAGAGAGAGAGAGAGGGGCTGTTTTTATAAGCGCAAAGACTCCTATGACATCAGGAATATATATCACTGATGAAGCTTTCTGGTGCACTGCAAAGATGTTGGAGAATTCTAATAAGTTATTTGCAACTAAGACCATTTTCCTTATTGAATGACAAGAATGAACTATTTGAATGTTTTTCTTTTAGTCATAAACTCCCAATGATACCAGGAATAAACATTACAGATTAAGCTTTTTAGTGTACTGCAAAAGTGTTTGAGATATACAACAGGAAATATTTCTGTCTATGAGATACATTTAATTTATCAATAAAACCTATGAAACAGGTTTTACAGTAAAAGAAATGAATAAAAATTTTTAAATTGTTTGATTGACTGATTCGATTTTTCATCATGGCTTATCAGCCTTTTGCAGGTTATTTAAAGCCAGATATATTTTTAGATTTCAAAAGTTATTTTGGAGACAATGATTCTTACTGATAAAATTCTACCAATTAATCCATAGCTGGGGAGAAAAGAGGTGGATCATACCTTTCCCAAGGGTATTTGCACATAAGTGAATATAATGAATCCAATATTTTTATTGATGTTTTATGCCATGAAATGATCATTGTTGATAATTTATAAACAATTTAATTCATCCAATACAGTCAGTTATGTGCTATGCATGATATACGCATAGACGATCATGTATCATTTGATACATGATTGATGATGCAGAATTTTTTTCCGCAGTCGGTTACCATTTCTTTCTGCAGTAGACCAGTTGCCACCGAAGGCTATAGAACCCAGTCTGTCCTGTTATTTACCCATAGCTGGGTGGAGAAAAATAGGATTCATGCCTTTCCCAAGGGTATTAGTACATAAGTGAATGTAATGGATTCGACCAGAATTCGAACTCGACTCTCCGATTCCTCACTCTGAGCCACTGGCCATTACTTCACCATGCCTCCTACCCATACTTATCTTATACACATTTTACTAAACTATTTTATGCTTTCATCAATATCTGTTTCCCCTTTTCAGAGATGATTTACTTGTGCAATGTAAATTTTTTACTATTTTGAAATTTCAACAATTCTAAAATTCTTGCCTCTGAGCCGAATACCATATGAGTGAAATATAATTTTGTATTTCATTTTTTAAATTAATAATTATCAGTATACTTTAATTATTATGAAATTAATTATTTAGATTGATTTATTTTTTTATAGCTTATCAAACTTTCACAAGTTTTTCAAAACCAGAAATATTTTTTAGACTGTAAGATTTTGTTTTTGAAATAATGATAATTTACTAATACAGTTCCTACTATTTAACCTGTAACTGGGAGAAGACGAGATGGATTCATACCTTTCCCAAGGGTATTTGCACGTAAGTGAATATAATGAACTCAACTAGAATTGGAACTCAGCTTTCCAAATTCAGACCTGTTATCCATTACACCACTCACACATTCAAGATTACGGCACCTAGCATTCCCAAGTGGTCATCCATCTAGGTACTGACCAGGCTTGACATTGCTTAACTCAAGTAATCATATAGGAACTGGTGTTTCAACTTGATATGGCCATAAGCCTTTATTCTTTAGAAACACTGAAGAAAAGCAAGAAGAAAGGAATAAACTGCAAGGAGACAAAATGGATGGTTGTTAGCAAAAGGGATCAGCCCAAAATGCAAATTACAAATTGAAGATACCAAAATCAAACAAGTACAAACATTTAACTATTTGGAAAATGTTCTAACAAAGAACAATATTGAAATTTGAAAATGTATGGATATAGCCAAAGATGAATTCAAAAAGGTAAGCAGAGTATTAAGAAACAGAAAAAAAAACTTCATTGGAAACAAAGAAAAGAGCTGTTATATGTTATCTGTTGTTGCAGTAAATGCTGGACAGTCTCCTCCAAGATGAAGACTGACAGATGAAGCAACAAGAATGTGCTTATTCAGAAAGATGCAGAGGATACCATAAACTCAACATGTGAGCAACAACAAGGTTTTAGAGAAAATGCACACAAAAATAAAACTTATACTTAACATCAGGAAGAGACACTTGAAATTTCCATAGCACATAATGAGGAAAGAAGGCTTGGAAAATTTGATACATAGGACATATAGAGGGCAAGAGGGACAGAGGAAACAGGATATAACATACTTAAGGTTAAATAAATGGATGGTGGAACACAGTTTAGGAAAAAAAAAACAAAATACAAAATTTATTAAGAGCTACAAAGGACAGGAAGATGTAGAGAGCCATGATCACCTACATCCCGAGGGGCATAGCACATAAAGAAGTGTCTATAACAACCAAGTTGAGAACAAAATAATTAGATCATTAAAACTTGATTAACAAGTAGCTATTAAATGGGGGTTCAGTCTCATTTTACAGCCATGTTATTAAGAGAACCCCCTACATTTTGCCATACTAAATTCTATACATTTTTCTACTCTAGAAAACATGCCAGAGCAGGCTACTTCTGAGGGCCTAGCAATTGTAAATTTTGTATGATTGCAGCTTTTTGGGATTCTTTTAAAATAGGCATATGGGTTACTGACAAAAAAAAAGTCAATTCACAATTTACTACAACAGTTTGGGAATATCAAGTGCTGCAAGCTTGGATGTGCAGGTGGTGCAATAGATAATGGCTCTGAATTGTTAATCAAAGAGCAGAGTTCCAATTTCAGTAAGGTTCATTACTTTCACTTACATGCAAATACACTTGGGGAAAGGTATGAATTCACCACTTCTCCCCCAGTTATGGGTTAATTAGTAAGACTTGTATCACTAAAAAATTATTATCTCAAAAAAAATATTTATATTTCAGCATTAAATAATCCATAGATGTTGATAAGCTGCTCAACAAAAGCAACCAAACCAAAGTTTAGTAGCTCTGTTGTTTACAAATTTTTTCCAGTTCATGATTTGTCAACCACTACACAGTGAAGTAATGGATGGCAGCTCAGATTGGGGAAATGGAGAGCTGAGTTTGAATTCCAGTCAAATCCATTGTATTCAATTACGTGCTAATAACCTAGGAAAGGTATGACTCCTTTCTTTTCCCCCCAGCTATGGATAAATAGCAATCCAGACCAGGTTCTATAGCCTTGGATGGCAACTGGTCTACCACAGAAAGTAATGGCAACCTACTGCAGGAAAAAATCTGCCTCGTCAATCATGTATCAAAAAATACATGATCGCCTAAGCGTGTATTACACACGGCACATAACTGACTCTACCATCTCTGCCTTTGTATATTTTTCATACAAAATCACACAGAAACTTGGTAAGATATAAAACTATTTCAAAATGCTTTTGTTGTTCTCCCCTTGCACTTCATAACTACTGCTTGTGTCTTGTCCCAATTAAATCCTAGCAACAGATGATCAGCATTAATAAAACCATCATAACAATTTTTATAGTCTATAAAATCAAGGGTTCACCTGTACTCCCTACCAAACCTGCATAGTTCAGAATAAAAGGCTCAGAAAAGAAAAAATCTATTTCTAGTCTACAGAATATGCATTGCCATTTTTCTTGTTGATATGAATGTTCCATTTGGAAAGTCTGACAGGAAATCAATGCTCTGCGAAAATAAGCCAAAACATAGAAATTCCTCTGTGCACTCTTTCTTTTGTGTGGTAGGCACTGCGATTTTTCGGAAGTGATTTTCTCCTCCCTCTTTCACCTGACCTTGCCTGCAGCTAAAGATAGTCCAACATTAACCGTGGAGGAATTTTTCAATATGAATTTATTTATTCCATTAATTACCTATCTATGACTGAAATAAGCCTTCCTACAAAAATTGCTTTGTTGGCATTGATTTATGAAAAGAGACGAGAGAGAATGCTGAGCAGCTTACAAGAAAAGTAAACAACCACACAAAGAATACACATGCATGCACACACATACACACGCACACACACACACACACACACACACACACATATATATATATTAC